GGGGGTGTTAAATTGCTATGGACATCATGCATTAAGAGAGAAGAGAGTTTAACGTTAAGCATATTAATTGGCATAATATTTAGTTCTTATTAACCGAGCGGGCGGTCTGTATGGAAGAATCTTGACCGAGGTCTGTACCAGCGACCGAGGTCAAGATTCTCCCATACAGACCGACCTAGCTCGGTTAATAAGATGTTTATTATATGGCTGTGTCTTATACGCCGATTTTTTATATTCCTTGTACCTAGAAAATCTAGACCGCTTTTAATATTGATTTCAGTCAATCAAATTCGTGAATTCGGTAGTTCCCAGTCCTTGTGAGACACAGCCATATAATAATAGCCGATATAAAATAAGCAATGGCGTGTGAATTATAGTTAGAGCGGAGAGGAATTGTGGATTGTGTGTGGTTTCTATATAGAGAGATGGAGCTACGCTATTGGTGGGAACGTGGGAACGTGTGAACGTGGAAACGTGGAAACGTGGGAACGTGGGAACGTGGGAACGTGGGAACGTGTTTCATGTTAATGACCAAACTTTCCTCGGTTGCGTAGAAGACTTGAAGCATTCAGTGGATTGCTCGAAATCAGAGAGAGTAGATAATATATCTTCGAGAAATGGTTAACTGGGTTTACCACTTTGTATTGTAAATGTCGTATTCGTTCAAGTGTAAACACCGATCATTTAACTTACTGTTGAAAAAGTTGAGTGAAACATTCTTTTCTCAAAATGTAGTCCCTCTGCCAGTGACATCTCGTAACCTTATAAATAAAAGAGGATTAACAGGATTGGAGACGTTGAAACATGGCAAAAAGTCATTTGGGAAATTCAACAGTCTACGAAACTTTCCAACAACAGTAAATTGTTTTTGCTTGCAAGTCAGAATGATTTATATCTTGAAGCAACCAAACCCTACACGAGTTCAAGTTCTGTTTTTGCTTAACTTTGGCAAAAGGCTACCTCTTTTCCTCAGTTTGTTTCAGTGAAAATGATGGCTTCGAAACATTCTTTTAACTCGTGTGAAAAGAAATACGTCATGACGTTTTGAGATTTTTCGGTCACCAGAAAAAACGACAGTCTCACAAAAGAACAATTAAATAGAACAATTACATACAACAATTAAATAGAACAGATAATTGCTTCGATATTGGGAAATAGCCCACGAGAATGAGTAAACCAGCAAGAACCAATTAACTATGAACAAGATTAACGCCAATTGCAATTGACATGAAATCTTTCGAATAATCGTAGCATAATTCAGAGCGGAAAGCAGCCACTGATTGATAGGTTATTACTGCCGTGGCAATACCTGTGTTGACAGCTTCTTTGGCGATCTGTACAGCGATCTTCGACAAGGATGACATTTTAGCAGCCGTCTTGATGGCTTCATCTACAAGCTCGTCTGCAGGGAAGACTTTACTAACCAGGCCTAAGAAAAAATGAAATGAAACAGTTGATTAACGTACTTTTAATTTTAATCAAGGCAGAAGAAACCTCTAAAAAATAAATGTGCAATGCTCTACTAGACTTATTTGACACAAAAAATCACTCTCCCAAGATGTGTTAGATGAAGATAAAAACTTTTACCTCAGTGATAAGTTTGAATATTCTCATTACCTGTTTGCTGAATAATGTATGGGTATTACAAGGAGAAGTTACAAGTTAATCAATTCTGGAAGGTAAAAGGTTAATGGTGAATAACTGGTTAAAATAGGGGCTAAGTTAAAAGTAACATGGACCTGATTTCTGTGCATCATCTGCTGAAATGGGATCTCCAGTTAGTATCATTTCCATAGCGAGAGACTTCCCAACAGCACTTGGGAGTCGCTGTGTACCACCAGCACCTAACAACGACAGCAATCTTTGAGTTTTTTGCAGTTTTGAGTACATACCTAAGTTCGAAAAAGTAAAAGAACATAAAAGCAGCAACACAAGAGAGTCTAAAATGGAAGGATACCCATTTGAAGACTAAAAGGGACTCTTTCTTCTATGATCTCTCCTGATTTGAAGTCTTTAACACCCTCAATAACGGCACTTTAACTCTGTGACCCCCCAAGAGTGATTAGCACCTAATTACTCCTCACAATATCACCCCTGAATCACACATTAAGGTCAGGAGAATAAAGGAAATGATCACCAACTAAAGACACTCTTGATTGTTAAACAAATTCTCCTTGTCAGCACCTTACAAAATGTGTTGAAAACAGTATGGAGAACACGCATACTGATGTTGGAGTGTAAAGGGCTAGTGATCAATACGCTTAAAAAGTAAAATATTTCAAAAGTCTTGTAAAGGAAAAGACCTGATTTTCATTTTCTTCATCTGGTATCCCGTAGATAGACTCTGCTCTCTAACATTTTAAATCGAGATCTGCGGAATATACTTTCTTATTATGCAAACTGATAAAGCTGTTTCTACAGTTGAGTTATATGTGTGTCACACCTGGAAGAGTTCCAAGCAAAATCTCTGGTTGACCAAACTTGGCTTTGTTTCCAGCATAAATGATATCACACATCATGGCTAATTCACAGCCTCCTCCAAGCTGTGAAGGCAGCATTTTACAAAACAAATTAAACAGTGACCAAAAAATATTTATAACATAACCAAAGTAAAGTGCATACTCTGATTGGTCAATTTAGCGTCCCCCATTTGCCCATGGGTGTACGCTGCTGACATGAGCACATGCAAAGACTATTAATCTTTTCCACATGCGCTTGTTTTTTTCTGGTCACGTAAGGTTTGTAAAATAAAAGGGAACTCCTTGGCTACAATGTATCGATGTTATGTTATAAAACAAATGGTAAACACCACAGCGTACACTATTGAGTTATGGATGCACTTGGGAGGTTTGCTTAGCACTCAAGAAGCTAAAGTCGCTCTCAGCTATCGCCTCGAGTGACTCTTATGCTTCTTTCATGCTTAGCAACCTCCTGCGTGCATCCATAACTCAATAGTGTACGCTGTGGTGTTTACCATTTGTTAAATAAAAAACTCATGTTAGTAAATAAATGAGCAAAGGAAAGAATGAAATGAATAAATAAAGCCATTAATAAGAAATTTTCTCCAGCAGACTTCAATTTACCCACAAAAATATGCTATGTGTAACCCTTCACTACACTGTGACAGCTAAAAATATCTTGATTACTGGACAATCTGGGCACTCTGCTTAGTGAGGTCAAAACTGGTGATTAAATTGCAACAATAAATGACACCACTGGCACCCACTCATACCAAATTCAGTGTCTTAGTCTCACCGCAAATCCATTGACTGCAGCAATGACAGGCTTCTTACAACAAGCCACTCGAGTCCAGTGACCGAGAAAATCTCCCAACAGGCACTTCTGATATGTTAAATTCTGCATCTCTTTAATATCAGCTCCAGCTACAGTAGAAGTAAAGAAATGTCTTGACCATACTTTGCTCATTTTCAGAATATACAATCCACCGCAAAGCTAACAAAAAATCAAATGACTTGAAGTTCAAATTGTGAAAAGGTCACAGATGCGATGAGAAACTTAAAAAATATTCTCTTGATAAAATTTTTATAGAAACTGTGCGGTATAAATTTGAATTTAATAATAATTTAAACACCACATCAAATCCATGTGAGCAGGAATCATTAAATGGTTTCTTATTTGCATCAAATTTGGAAAAGTAAAAAGTTGAACATTTTAACCAAAGCTAAACATATTCTTAGTCAATGTTATAGCACAAGACTTCAAAACTTTACAAGGGGTACACTGCAATCTACCAGATGGTGAGTACTACGTAAGTCCTATACAAGATACGGAGGGGAGGGGAGAAAGGTCTTCATAAGCCATGCTGGAACAGAAATTCCATGGAGATGGGGGGGGGGGGGGTTAAAAAAGAAAAAACCTCCCCTGCAGGACTATAGATATTTTCTGGATCTACACAAGCACCCCTAAGACTTTTCTCTTGTTTTGCCTTTTTTACTTACGTACCAGCAAAAGCTTTCTCACTTCCTGTGATCACAATGGCACCAACATTTTTGTCAGTTTCAAAGTCATCAAGGGCATCCTGCAACTCTGACATCAGCTGATCGCAGAGTGCATTTAATGCTTTGGGTCGGTTGAGCTGGATGAAGCCCACGTTTTGCTTCTCCCCCCTTTTCTCTGCCTTGATCATTTCAAATGTTCTTGACGCTAATGATAAATTGAGGAAAGTGTGACTCTTATAGTCCAAAAATAATTCACTTCAGATATTATACACTGGTGTCTGTGCAAATACACATCTTAATGCTTTCATATTCTCAACTTAAGTTAATGTCCAGGGGCCCATTTCTCGAAAGTCATGGTAACTTAACGGGCCTGTAAAGCTGTTCTGTTTTCATTCAAGATGGGGATTTCAAAAGTTTTGAAAATGATACAATGAAACTATCAGCTAAAGAAACAAAAAGAACTGGTTTGGGTGCCAGAACCTGCTTTCCTATCCTTTAAAGTTTGATTTTAAAACATGGCTCAGGGCCCCTTAAGTTACCAGGACTTTCAAGAAACAGGCCTCAGGGCTGGGTTGTTCAAAGCTGGGCTGATATATCCTTGGGTTAGTGTAAAGGCTGATTTTAGATCTGAAAGCTTTAAAAGAAACTTCAGTGTAATTACTTTTGTTTATAATTTGAGGATTAGATGCTTTAAAAAAGAATGGAGAGAGTTATCTCAAAAAGGCTTTTGGACAAAGGAATAAAAAAAAAACATAATGAAATTTAACTTAATTTGGGTAAGAGTGCTGATTGGCATTCAAACAACTGAGCCCAGAACTTGAGATTCCAGAAAAACAAAAACAAAAAAAACAAACAAACAAACAAAAAAAGAAACAAACAAATGACTGAACAGACAAATGCAAAGACTTATGTAATGACATTCAGAGATTCATTTAATTCTTCCTTCCCCACTATACAACCACACCAAACTATGACACCTACTGCAAATACTGGAAACTTCTTATTGCTTCTGATCTAGGCTTGAACATGTGTTCAGATCAGATGTGAGAATTCACAAAACAGTCAAACTTGATTCTTAAGAGAAGGTTACTCACCCTTAATATTTTTTTTTCCCATTTAATCCTTTATACCTGGCATCAGCATGCATAATCTCTATACTCTTCTTTAAACCTTTTTTTACATAATTATATCATCATCTTTCATTTGCCTTATTTTTAACAATAAAAATATTTAATTACAGCGATAACGGTTAGAAGGCGAGGAGACCCAAGAAGCCACTGGGCTTATGGGAGAGCCACCTCACTTACAATAATAAATCAAGTAAAGAAAAAGTGCTGCGAATGTGCGGCTTGGACAATTCAGTGATGTATATGACACTAACAAGGAGAATTTGGATAAAAATCAAAAGCTTTACAAGTTTGCGATCATTTGCTTAATTCCCACGAGCCTACAGTTTGATTCAGGACTGATATCTTTGCAAGAAATTAGATGCTGGTCAACCCACGAGATTAAAGGTTACGCTCATATGCGTTGAATGTACAAATCCCCATATTCAGGGTTTGTTTCTTTTGCGACTGAGTAAGATGCGAACTGCTTCAAGCTTGATGCCTCCAGTAAAGAAACTTTAAACTTACCTGAGCAGTACGTTCGAGCAAGATCGGATGGACGAGTTGACTGCGCTGATCGCAAGCCACATAATCCACGCGCGATTTGAAACAACCTTCTAGAAGCCATCTTGCTGGAGATGAGTCAGTATAAACGGGGGCGGGGTGGGGGACTGGAAGTATATCTGGAGTTACCTCATTAAATGGAGAGAAATTTTCATGAAACAAATATATATGATTAATTTAGGAAAAAAAATTCTCTCCACAGGTTATTTGGTTTTAAAACTGAAAATTTGATAAAAGTCAACGATGCAATTCGTTATCGCTTTCTTTCTCGCCCCTCCCTGATGAAATGCCATGAGGGCTTCGCAGCCTGGCCGAATATTTTTCGAAATAGCTTGGTTGCCTGGCCAAAACTAAGCTCGCCATCTTTGTTTTAGGTATGGTTTAGTGATGTTTTAGTGAGTAACGAGCCTTATAATAATGACCAGACACGCTAAAAACTGTACAGCAGGAACGGTTTACACTTATCACGAGCGAAAAAAGGACACCAAAAAGTCTGGGTATGGCAGTAAATCTGTACGTCTTGGTAGAGATTCTGTAAAGAACTTCGATTGCTGTTGTCTGACGCTACAACCTTGTCGTGAACCGGTTGTGACACCAGACGGTTTCTTGTACGACAGAGAAGCAATCTTAGAGTGTTTGTTGCATCAGAAAACCGAAGCTGCCAGGAAAATGAAAGCTTTTGAAAAGCAGAAGAAGAAGCAAGATGCTGAAGAAGCTGGAAAGGTGGAGGAAAAAGAGAGATCCAAAGTCGAATCGTTTGTCAATATGGAGAAGCGCCTCACCACAAAACCAACGAGTGCATTCACTGCAACAAAAGATCGAAGTATCAATGGATCGTCCGATTTTAATGATGAACAACAACCATCTACCTCTAGTGGTAAGAAAATAGAGTCATTTGGGAGTATTTTTTTTTTTTTTTACATGATCAGGGATAATCGACTCTAACATGTACATGTAGTTCACATCTCTTGAGCCCTTGACCCCAGCGAGTGACCAGAGATTTTGTTTCCTTACAATATCACCCCTCAATCAAACAATGTCATGATACTTAAGGTAATGATCCCCAGCTACAACAGCTCTGGATTGTCAAACAAATTCCTCTCAGCATCTTCACAGAACAGTAGGGAGAATCTGCATACAGATGTAAGAATTTTAAGGGTTAACAGTAAGTGGTAAACCCCGAAATGAACAAATTATGGCCACCTTTCTATCTAATGCCCCATTCCCACCAGCAAGACATTTTTAGTTAAACCATGTTTAACTGAATAAAAGCCAACAATAGGAAACTGAAAGACTAATAGTTCAAGTAGTCACCAACATTTATCTTCATTGTGCTATACATGAATCGTTTTAGACCCTAAGTTTGAAGTTGACAAAATTTGTGTTTTCTTGAGCAACACACATGTCAAAAATTTACTCCTATAATTGCCATCTAGCCAGTAATATGATCAGCAAAAGCAGACAAAAAAGGCAAGGGGTAGCCATCAATAGACTGACATCTGAAATGATTGAGGGTGCTGTATTACTTTTTGATGTTTCATAACACAGAGACCTGGCTCAGTGGGGCAATTGGCTTGTGATTACCTTGCATCAAAAAGTGCAAATAATCTGACTTGTTAAGAATTTCCTCAGGAAACCCTACTAGGAATGAACTTACACCTCATTAGATATGGGACATAATCATTTACCATTTTGACTGTCAGAAGAGCACAACTTTTTTTATTTTTTTTTTTATTTAAGGTATAACCTAGAATGATATTTTGGCTTTATTCTTTTGCAGGTGGCTCCAGTGGCAATGATAAAAATCTTCAAAGTTTTTGGGTTCCATCTTTAACACCAGAAGCAAAACCCACACTTCTGAAGAAACCAGATTCAAAAACCTATTGTCCAATGAGTGGTAAACCTCTCAGAATCAAAGATCTGATTGCAGTCAAACTAACACCAATAGATGATGGCGATGACCGACCAATGGTAGCAAAGTCTGAAAGGTATAAGTGTGCAGTTACCCACGATGCACTTGGTAATTCTGTTCCCTGTGCAGTTCTGAAGAACACAGGAAATGTGGTGACAATGGACTGCATTGAGAAGCTAATTAAGAAAGACATGCTGTGCCCATTTACTGGCTCGAAATTGAAAGAAAGTGACATCATTCCACTGCAGCGTGGAGGAACAGGGTTTGCTGGTGCTGGTACACAATTGGAGGCAAAAAGAGCAGGGCCAGTTCTTCAGGCCTGAAACAAAACTAAGTATTGACTCTCTCTGGCTCTTTGAAGGAGAATAACTCTATATATTATAGTTGTAGGGTCAGACACTCAACTAGAGACAGAGAAAGTAGGCCCAGTCTACAAGACCTGCTGGGTCATCTGACAGATCTAAAACAAAACCAAGTATTGCTTGTTCTCTAAAGGAGACTCACTTTCTAATTATGGTGTTTTCTAAATTCTCTCTCTTTTTTGTAATTTTATCTTTGTTTTCCTTTGTCTCAGATCTGGGACAAAGAAAATCAAACTGATACTGGCTTTTAAACTTTAGACTGCAATGTGCTCAGGTTCTTTACCGTCGATACACAAGGTACATGTATGAACCTTATCACTTGAGACCCGATTTTTTTTCCCGCTCTTAAGAGATTTGTGCAGTTAAACTGATTGAAGTTGAAAGGTTACTGAAAGGTTACTGTTCTATTGTGTCTTTAAGCAAGAAACGTTACGCTTGAGTAATACTCTGTTGCAAGAAAAGTGTTTTCCTAAGGTTTATCCGAAATGGAATTGTACGTATAGAACACACACAACCGAAACGAACAAACAAGCAAAACTACAAACAAGCAAAGCCAAAAACAAAACAGAAGAAAGAAACCGTGAGTCACGCGCATGTACTATTTAATATGCGGTATTATGTTTTGCCAAGTGATGAATTAGTCCTGGACAGTGATAAAGTTTGTTCAATGAAAATGGGTCATCTTTCGTTTTTCTCCCTTTTTTCCCTCTTTCTCCTCCTTTCTCTCTCCCCCTTTCTCTCTCCCTCTCTCTCTCTCTCTCTCTCGTTTTCCTTCGTCTTGGTCCACAACAGAACAAACTTCAGTTGTCATTAAATGATCTTTACCTTATCAAGCTACAGGCCAGTTTTGCACCTTTTGGGTTACAACCTCGTTGATGTCTTCTCCTTTAACTCCCATGAGTGCCCAAGACAGAATTTCTCCTTACAATATGAATACATTATGAAGCAGACAAGTAATGAGAATAAAGAAAACATCAATCAGAACTAACATCGTGAGAATTGTATGGCAGACTGCGAGGAGTCTTAGAAATGGAAGGGTTTAAAATTTTCATTTTCATTAAGTGAATTTTTTTAAAAGGAAGAACTGTTTGAATAGTTTAGAGACATACGACAACGAGTCAGCAAAATTGTCCTGAAATTACCCACCGCAGCGTTCCATAATTAAATATCAAGCTTGAATAAACAAGTTACGTATGCAAGGTCACGAATGTTAGCCCTCTGATTAGACATTCATTTTCACTTCTCTGAGCCAATACGGAAAATCAGTGCGACAACTCAACCGGGAGGCTGAAGTTTTTTGAAAATATCCTTACGTACTGCTGTTGGGAAGAAACGTTTTGGGGAGTCGGTCCACAAACGACCGGGTCAAGGTATAACATACTTTTGTGACTTATCTGGCAAATTTGTTGTAATTATAAAGATTATGTACTCAGATGGTCGACTTCAGTTGAAACGTCATTTACAACAGCGGATCAGCTGAATCGTAATAAAACATTACCATCGACATTTACCAAGAAAATGAACGAAAATTAATGACAATTGTGTAGTCAAATTATTTCCCTTTAACGGTACGGTCGGGGTCTGTTGTCTGTAATTGCTGGTTTTATGGCTTGTGTGTATTCATTCGATTATTCAGTGAAAGTTACGGATCATTTGATGAATCAGTAAGCTTACTCAGGCCAGCTGTTGAAGATGACACGGGGGCCAACTGAACCAATTCTGATACAGTTTATCCTTTAAGTTAACAAGGTCTATGAGTTATAATAAATATAACAGATATCTTTCCTTTCGAATCCTGAAGCCAATTTTACTTCAATTTGTCACGTGGCCCTGTAAATTAGGATCTCATTTAAACTGCTGATGTGATTGATCTCTTGATCTCTGTGGTGTGTCAGTTGTTTCAGCTCAGATTCTGTGCAATCTAAACAAGTCATGACATTATCTAAAGTGTTAAGGTATTCTTGCTCACAGGCCATGCATATAACGGCAATATTTGCAGTATGTCTTGTCTTAGTTGCACCTGAAATCAAACTAATAAGGCGCTTGTATCAACTGATAGTCGAGTTAAAATCACCGACTGTAGAGTGTGTTCCAGTCCCATTTCGGCCCTACGGAGGTACAACCATAAATTTGTGCTTTTTATGTTGTAACTTTTTTAGAGCGATAAACAATGCTTTATTTCCACTTTCTGTATGTTAATTGCAGCGCTCTGTTGTAATTTAAGTCCTAGAACAGAACTATACAACGAATCATCGTTCTGAATTGCGGCTGCGATAGCCTATGACTAAAGAGCTAGAATTTGGTCGCTTTATTCAAGAAAAGTGTGTTCACTATTGAGTATTTTTTATTAATCAAGTGATAAACAATCCCCTAGGGACTCCTTCAGGGCCACTTAACCGCAACATCGCAATGGGACAAAATTGAAAATCTATGTTATGTAATCAAGATTACAAGCTTCGATCGGTTTGGATTATCTCAGTTTTATCTAAATGTTAGTAAAATCTATTTTCAAGAGATACGACGTTGAGATCCAGACGCAATTAAAAAATAGCCATTTTGTCGTAGTACGTCATTACTTTTGAAATGACAAACGTACCGTATTAGCTTTTGGTAGAATTCTTTACGCGCAAAACCTGAAGCAAACGTCACGAAAAATGACATTGCTTTAGGGCAAATACTCTCCAGAAATTCAGTAATGCTGTGGTGAAAAGGTAAAAAATTAAGGATTAATTGAATTGGACGTAATCGAATACAATTTCGGATCCACCTGCGTGCAGCAATTGACATGCAACGCACGTTTTGGTCCTAGTACTGACAGTCCAACTTTGTGCCTCAAAGCAAAATCTGAATGATGATAAAAATGGATCGTCGAGGTTTTATAGGTCTTCTTACGTTTACATGCAATTCCATTGGGATTATTTCAGTTCAGCTCAGTTCGCCTCTTAATCGTTGTTACTGAAAGCGTAACTTTAATATTATACTAGTAGTTTCAATGTGAGAGTGGAAGCTGGCGTCGCAGCTTGAAGGAAGCTTGAACTCACCTTGTATCTGGATGGCCAACTAAACCCAAATTAATATACATTAACCGAACAAAGGGGTTTTTTAATTGAGTGTACACCCGCTCGGCTGCTCATCATGTAATGACACCTAAATTTAAATCGCTCTGACACCGTTTAGAATTTTTCATTATTTTCAAAACCGTTTAGGCTCTGGGTGGCTTTACACTGATATACACAAAATGATATTGACAATTTCACGACGATTTTTTTTCCTCATTTTCCTCTCTGTTGAAGAAACAGGCTTGTTCTAGGTGCAAAAGCTTTTTGTACTTAAAGATATATTGAAATTATTCGTTAAACCCTCTCAGTTGTGTTTGCCTTTTTTCTCTCTTGTAATTTCAATGTAGGGAATAAGTTCTTCGTGTGCTGAGTCCCTTGGACGTCACGCTTATCCTGATGACATTTAAGCCGTAAATCTATATTTAAATGATGACGAATGTCACAAAATAAAAGATGATTACAATGCACGCAGAGTTTAATTGTCTAACGTATTATACCACTTTCTGCCAAAATATTTTTGGCAGAAAGATCTAAAGTGAATGATGCCAGTTTTAATTTTAATGCTGTTTTAGGGCTTCTGAGATTCTTAAGATTACAAATTTGCGATGTCACCCGTTGGTGTTAACAATAAGGTGCTAGTCTTTGTTTTAATACGACAAAGGTACATTTTATGCAAAATGTAAATGCGACTGTAGTGGATGCGTTAAATATTTTTTATGACCTTATTTTGACTTGACGTCACAAATTTTCTTTAAGCAATTTGGGTTGTCGGTGGTTTCATATGTAAATAGATTTCCATCTTATTTTGAACTATTGAAAAGAAAAAAGCAAAAATAAAGGAAATGACATTTGCGGTCATATCCTCTGGACTTGCAACACAATGTTGTCCTTAAATTCTGAAGAGGTCTTTTATTTTACAGACATGAAGCGTTTTCGACGACGGTTGGTAGTTAGCGGTGTAGACAGTATTATATTTCATAATTACTTTGCAGAGGGAGCTTACAGAGGACTAGCTGCTAATGGGTCAGCCAAGATTTTCAGAATGGTTTTTCGAGGAAGAATGATTTCTTCCTTCTCTTTCTCTTTCAGAATAATGGACGGGAGTTCTTTGAATTTAATAGACCATTTAGATCACATCAACCTCGGGGAACATGAGGCAACGGATTTTGGCATGAGAGTTTTGGATTCAAAGAGCAACAAAACTGGAGCACATTTGGGAAAATTTTCGGTATCCGATGGAATAAAACGAAGCATTTCAAATGCTGTGGAAAGAAACATGAATACATCTTCCATGGACATATTTGAGGTAAGGACTGTTCTTAAATTTGCCGTTAAATGTATTGTGTTCTCATTTGGGATAAGGAAGGCCTCAGCGTACAAAGTAAAAAAGGCTTTTACGTTTTCAGAGTCATAATTTTTTTTTTTAATACTTCACTCTAAATTCATGAGGCGTACATAGAAAGCAACCATTGAAAAAAGTGTCGATAACGAACCCTATGAAGACGCAGTAAAATGACCCTATTAACGCATCTTACGTAAAATCATATACACAGCCTACTTCATTTCAATTCACTTTCTCGATATAAACCTGTGAAAATACACAATTCAGCGACGCTTAACTCGTAAGAACCTCGCCTTTTTCAATTTTCATTTTACCAGCGACGGCGAGGAGATCTCTTTATTGTTAAGTTACAGACTTCATTAGTTTTTAATCGCTGTTTTTGTCCTTTGCACACAATACATAACAGCCGGCGTAGGATACCCCTTCAAGTCTGATTTGAACTCGCACAAAGATTGCTTTTCTAATAGCATACAAATAGTCTCACTGAATGTTTGTTTAGACATTCTAGAATTACCATCTTTAATTTATAGTCCCAAAACTCAGGTTGTTAGACTCAGTGACTAGTCGTGGACTAAGTTCTAAGTGACCCACCACATAACTTAGTTATCGTAGTGCTTAAAAATACAATTTTGCAGATCAGTTAAGACTGAACGAAAGGCAGCGCACAATACTTTGCATATCTGATTCTCGGTAAACGGTATGAGGGGCTCTTTATTTCAGATATGTCATGCTTTTCAGCACAGTTTTCGATTATCAGTAGTTTTCTACTATAGGATAATCTTATGCATGAGGTATAAGCAGTATCTTCTGATCGATATACCCTTGCTGGTTATTTCCTTAAAACTATGAATTTGAAAATCTTAAGACTTTGTTGATAAGAGAAAAAGACAGTTTAACAGTTGTGAATGATTCAATTTCAAAAAATTTCTATATAGTTTACGGCGACAGGTAAACGCTTGGAGTATGATACATGTTAAGAGAAGAATTATTGTCTTATTGGGAGATTTAAATTTTACATTTCGTCATGTTTGGTTTATACGATATTGTGGTCACAACTTGCCAAAACGTCTATATCCAAGTGAACACGGCAATGCATTATATCTGCCAGCATAATCGATTTTATCTTCATCGTTAACCATTATAGATGAGTATCAAATTAACATATATATATGATCCGACGGAGATAAACTAAGGTACCGGATCTAACTATGTTTACCTTACTCGAGAGAAAGTGATTTTGAGTCTAAATGGTTACCTATGAAAGCAAATAAAGATGCGATATAAAAGTGATTTAATTAAGATTGGAGAAATACGGAACTCTGCGCTTACGTCTAAATATAGTTTTATCCATGAAAATATACTATGAAAATCTTTTTATAAAAGTTTCGTGTTTCACTGACACAACGGAATTTCCTCAAAGTGAAATCTAAACGCGGAAAACAGTGCTGAGGTCAGTGATTTAATATGTGACTGTACTAAATACTTAAAATATGCCGAAGTAAAATGTCAACATCCAACACTGAAGAACAAAACGATCCAGCTTCCAGCTGACTTCAACGGAAATTAAATCAAGCTTTCATTAAAAATTCTTAACTTAAAATGGGAGTTCGGATCAGTTTTCTTTTGTAACTGGAATGATAAATCCTCATTATATTTCCTAAATTGATAAAGTTAAAAAACGCTCCCTTTGCCTTAAAATACCCCAATATCGTTTATCTTGGATGTGTTTTAATTTCAACCAGGTTTCAAGTAATAAACATTACAAAAGACAAAATTTACTCGTAATATATATATTTTAATAATATACCTCAGACATGAAGGAGTGATAAGGTTAAAACTTATAGTCAGATTAAATATGAACTGCGATTGTCCGTTTCACCCTTCGATTTCTTCAGAAATTGTTGGCTACTTTGAATTGACATTCATTTTTTATAAATTTTGAAACCTTTACCCTAATTTGTTTCCGTGCGAGGCAACAAGACGAGCTAATTTCAGCTCTTTGTTTGCTAATATTCATCTTTTGTCTAAATTGTCACACTGCCGGGCATGTTAGTATGTAAATCACGACCAAAACCCTACCATCAAGTCTTAGATCAACTTTTAGATATACAGCTGCTTCGAGAATTTTAAAGGTTGTTGGAAAAAAATTTCATAGGGTACGCGACAACCCAGAAAGGTGTTCTGAGAAGTTTCAACGTCATGGTCTTTTGATCTCTGAAAATTCAGGGACACATAGAAAAAGTTACTGTAAGGTTGTGGCATCACCGCCACTAGTGGCCGTTTTGCCATTTTGGCCATCAGCGGTCATTTTGGCCTTTTGGCCACTATTGGCCGTTTCGCCATTTTGGCTGCTAATGGCCGTTTTGCCATTTTGGCCACTACCGTCCATTTGGCATTTTGGCATCTAGTGGCCAATTTAGGCCACTAGTGCCTATATTGGCATTTTTAGCACTAGTGGCCGTTTTTCGATTTTGGCCACTAATGGCCGTTTTGCCATTTTGACTTCTAGTGGCTGCTTTGCCATTTTGGTCACTAGTAACCGTTTTGCTATTTTGCCACTAGTGGCTGTTGTCGCATTTTACCACTAGTAGCCATTTTGGCATTTTGGCCACTAGTGGCCGTTCTTCCATATCGGCCACTAATGAACTTTTTGGCACTTTGGTCACTAGTGGCCGTTCTTCCGTATCGGCCACTAG